TTCATCTGCGAGTTCATCGAAACGAAATAATCTGATTATGAAATTGAAAACTCATTAATCAATCAAGAGATTAGTTGCTAATTATTCAAAAACTTATTTATAACTTTCACTTTATGGTATATTAGTTCATTTCTATAATCATGTTTATACGAATGCATAATAACATTGAAGATAATGTTTAGTTTGTTTTAATTTTTAAAATAAAATAATGAATCAAATGATGTGAACATTGATGTCTCGCAACAGTAGTAGCAATTAGAGTGGAATGTCTTTTGAACACATTTTCTATTCATAATATTTGTTACGATTATCATCGAAACAAATCAAACAAATTACAAATGAATGTTCAAAAACATTGTGTGGAAAGAGTTTACAAATAATGATTTCTCTTTATCTTTGTTTTTCCAACCATTAGTTGTGATCATATTTACTGTCATTTATTTGCTTTAAAACACTGTGTAATGAATCGTTTTCTAAAATAAACTCATTTAGAAACGCTTTGCATAATAACATTGAAAAATAACAGATCGTATCAGACATTGACTCCGAAATAGTTTCAAAGTTAAGACAATTTAAAAATAAGAATCCTTTTGACGACTCAATCAAATGTATCAAATACTAAAGCTATCTTTGTTAGCAATTTACAAACTTTTATCAGTTTGACAGACAATAAAACACACAATAAACATAAATACATACCGTATTTATATACCGTATAAATACTTACAAAGTATAATATATGAAATAATAATTAAATTGTCTTTTGATTAAAAGCAATACCAAAGCAGTAATAGTAAGGCAGAAGAAGAGGCCAAAAGACTCGCTGAAGAGGAAGAGGAGAAAAAGCCGGACAGACTTGCGCTCCTACTCCAGGAGTCGAAGTTCACGTGTGGAGACAAAAAAGACGGCTATTATGCCGACGAAAGGTATAAACGCAATGAGATTTGAATGCAAACTAAATGTAAACTAAATGCAAACTGAATTGTGTGTCAAGTGTTGGCTGTCAGGTGTTCCACTACTGTGTTGCCGGTGCTAAGCATAGCTGGCAGTGCCCCGAGAATACAGTCTTCCATCAAATTCACTTGAATTGTGTTCCGGCGGCACA